TTTTTTTTTGAAAATTATTTTGAAATCCTTGAGGTAAATCTTGGAAGTATTTTTGATAGCGGATTGTCTGTTTATAATCGATTGGAAAAGGAAAAAAAAGGGATCAAATTTCAGAGAGAACGCGTAAAACGTGTGAACCTCGGCTGCTTTATGTACCCCCTCATCTTCGTGTGAATAACGATAAGAAGGCTGCAAAGGATGAAAATGAGGTACTGTTGTTTTTCGAGGAGTTTATGATACTTTTTTACCGAGCTTAACATGACCATTGAAGGAGTCGATAAAAGTTTTTGTGTTACTGATGTAACCAAATTGTTTCCAGAGTCTAGGCGTAGCTGTGCATGGTTTTTTGATTCTGCATTCAGTTAGTAACCAAGGCCCGTTCGAGTAGTTCCCGAGTTAGCCATTTTGCCCCTTCAGAGGCCATCTTAATAGTGACCTACTTTTGCTGATATACGATATTCGCCGTTGTTGATAAGGCGTTTAACTTGCTCTGTTTTTACCGAATTTTTCTGCTTTGTACTGTGACGTGAAGTTTCTATTGCTCGTATGCACACGGAGGTGCTTCAGATATTTGCTCCATCGGTCTCTTCGCTTCAGTCTGCATCCGCTGTTTGGCTTCTGTTAGCGACTGCGATTCGCATTCCACTTCATTTTCTTTGACGCAGTAGCACTGAGGAGGTAACGCGGTCCTTCTTGGATTGGTCATTCTGGGACAAAGGTGACGCTGAGAAATTTGCTTCAGCCGGAACAGTCCTTACACGTGTATGAAAGAAGTCCTTACACTTTCACTTCTGAAAAATTACAGCTTTAGCAAAACTTTCTTTCGTAACCTTACAGATCAAAAATCACTTTTGTTATAACGTGTGATCCGAAATTTTCAGAAATCGCCAACAACTGATGAGCGGGAAGCATTACGCAGACAAATTCGGGAGCGTCTATTAAGAGAAATGGCCAAAGAAGAAGCCCAACGTGCACAGATGAAACCAGAAGCAACGGGCACTGGTTCAGAAGCAACGGGAAAAAACAAGAAAACAAGGAGAATTAGGAGAAATTCGGATGGAGCAATAGCAGAAGCTAGAGCAGTACGCAAGGAACCACTGTTCATGCTCTGCATTCGTGATCAGACAGGCGGTTTAACGAAACAAGTTGTTCATGCGGTAGTTTTCATTGTATTTTGAAGTAGCGTTTTGTAAGTATAATTTCCAGTTCTTTTTGCTAGCCGTTTTTAACGAAAATTCGGAAAGAATTTTGACAATTAAAATGAAATTTTAATATTTCACAGTTGCCTTTAAGGGGTTTATGGAATGCTTCTACCGTCGGGAGTGGGGAGAGAGGGGGGAAGGGAACCGCCGAACTGGCTGTTGTTTCTTCTAAAAACGCAGCAAAAGTCAAAATTATCATCAAACTAATCACTAGGCGATACATAATGTTGGTGAAAACGTTTGAAAAAATTAGGCTTGGGAAATTAGGCCTTGAATTACAGTAGAGCCGAATATTTTTGTCGAAGAAAATTTTTGCGTATTTTTCAGAATGACAGTGGTGCCCGGTTGGCGAAAGCACTCACCAGACAGCTGGAACTGGATAATCAACAATGTCGTGTACTTCGCAACTGCATTGAGGAGGAACTGAAAACCCGCCTCAAAATATCCTGAGATTTTTTCATCCTATCATTTATTTCGATTTTAACTGCTGGACAAATACGGAGCATTTGCCAAGTAGCGCTGCTCTCGTACTGAAAATCGAAAGTTCAATTCCACTAGCGCGGGATAGCCCACCATCCATCTAGGACTGGTACATATTCGTCTCGTTGGTAAATTGATACTGGCATGTGTCAGAGAGTCAAATCCGCCATCAGTTTATCTGTAAGCAACTCCAGAAACAGGAAGCTGTCGATAGCCTTACTAACGGCTGGTTGTTGTTGGCATTTATTATTACT